TCAAAGCCAGCCCGGGCAGGAAAGACCATGAGACTCCTATCTCCAATAAACCACCAGAAAACCGGAAGTGGCACTGTAGCTCAAGTGGTAGAGCGCTCCCCTTGAGCTGGAGAGCTGAGGGACAGCGCCCAGGCCCAGAGTTCAAGCCCCACGACCGACAAAAAAAAAAAAATACACTCCATAACTATTCCATATAAATGTATTTATAACTCAATACTAAATACAAAGGAGTTTAATTAATGTTGAGTTAAAAACTGAGTGACAAATTATAGGCTTGCCTTTCCCTTGGAGGTTTTTTTCCCATATGCAAACAATTTTGTAAAGATATATAATCATTGCTTTTTATTAATACAGACATGATGCCTCTTCTACATAATTATGTAACAGTTGATACAGACACACTTCTTTCTGATACCAAGTATCTTGAGATGATATACAGTATGTGTAAAAAGGTAAGTCGTTTTCAGATGTCAGATTTTGAGTTGCTATTAGAACATTATGACGATACATGGAATACCACATTGTGACAAACATATCAATCGTGGGTATAACAGAATTAAAGGCTTAACAACTTATTAACCTATTCAAATGTTTAACTTCAGGAGAGTAGGGGGAATGGGAAAAAGGTGAAAGAAACGAAGCAGTGCAGCTCATTGGACCCAAAAGAAAGTGAAAGAGATGGGAGGGTGGGACTGGGAGAAAATTGGAAAACAGAAGACACTATAAGAAAGGAAATGTATTCATTACCTGACCCATGTAATTGTAATCACTCTGTATATCACCCTTATAATAACAATATTGTAAATTAATTATTAAAAAATATCCAAAAAACTGTAGAGGGCTAGGGAATGTAGCTCAGTGGTACAGCATTTGCCTTCCATGTGAAGGCCTGTGTTCAAGGGAAGGAAGAAGAAGGGAAGGGTAGATGGGTGTATGGACCATAGACAAAATAAACAGTTAAAACGAAGAAAAGAAACATTTTTGAAGCTGGGTACTGTGGCTTAAGCCTATAATCCTAGCTACTCAGGAGGCTGAGCTCTGAGGATGGTGGTTATAGAAGCCAGCTTGGGCGGGAAAGTCCCTAAGACTCTTACTTCCATTTAGCCACCACAAAACCAGAAGTAGAGCTGGAGCTCAAAGTGGTAGAGCACAAGCACTAAGCAAATAGAGCTCAGGGACAGTGCCCAACTTTCAGATTCAAGCCCTGAGTGACACAAACGGAAAAAAAAAAT